TAGGTCATCGCAGCCATCATAGGTCAGCGGTCACATAGTGACCTCACAGGTTATCGTGTTCGACGTTACGAAATGACTCCGAAGAGGTCTAGTTGCTGCGTCTGTAATCTTACAGAATAAAGCAGCACAAAAAGCTGTTCGTTATTTGGAATTCGAAGCAAGTAACAATCGACAGGACATCAGAGTCCAAGAAAGTCAGAGCTGACATCGACAGTGATTCCTGTGAAAGCGATCACGAAATCAACAACGATGTTGTAGAAGGCGATCTCAATGAATACATGAAGGTAACGTTTCATCCCGACTGAGAAGATGGCCTGACTCTGTTAACCGGCGACTCTATGAACGAGGTAAAAATAGCATTTTTTTTCAGGTTACATTTGCACACTATTCAAAGTTCCAAATTGAGGTGAGAAAGTGATTGATTTTTCATTGTTTTGTTCCACATTTCGTGTAGATGCAATGCGTACTATTGCTGTGCAACTTAAGCATCTGTACTCTGCAGGTGCCTTACTGGAAAAGCCCCAGAAGATTCCTCAGCCGTAAGAATGTAAGAGAAGGCCTTGAACAGGTTTCCAGAGTCATGGCTAACAATCAAAGCCAGCAGTGAGGCAGAAAAAATTCAACAAAGTCGTCCAGGCATGGCGAAGGCAAAAAGGCCCCAAAAAATCAAAGTGAGGATCAAACATCTGGGTCATTGCCTCCAGCCCCATTTGTCTCAACAAAGGAGCAAATTGAAGATCCATTGTTTTTAGTCATTGTTTTGTGATTTCCTGTACATTTTACGTTAACAAAGGCCACTTAAGATGTTTAGGGACATTTTCATTCGACAGTTTTCGCGCTGTACACCAAAATTCCATCAGTGGATAAATTTATAACAAGTCAGTTCCACGGATCATGAAAGTCAGCTCGTTGATAAATCAGTGACTGTGATGAACTCATTAATACCACTTTTAATGGCCTATGGATTCATCAATGAAATTCATGGGCAACAGATTTCAGGGAATATTCATGGCCCATTAATTTTGTTCTCTCAAAACAAATAAATTGTTAGCCCATGAAATGCTGTTTGATTGCAATTCATGGGGATGAAATTCATTCTGATGACTTTCTGGGGAAACTAATGGGTCATGAAAGTAGACTTTGAAGAAATTCATGGGTCATGAAAGTAGGCATATAAAGAAATTCATGGGTCATGAAATTAATTCTGGTGACTTTCATGGGTCATAAAAATAGACTTTGAAGAAATTCATGGGTCATGAAAAAAATTCCCCTAATTCATGAAAAATTCAGGGCTAAAAATAACCCCATGAGGTTGCAGTGTTTATATTTACAAAACAACACGCATACACTCCGAAATATTTCTTGCAGTTTCTCCCAAGATTTAGCGCAATATTTCAAGCTGGGTTTGTCCAGTTGATTTTGATGGTCGCAGGGAAATGTCGAGTTTGTCGCTCAAAACCGTTGTGGTCCATAAGAGCGTAACATCATTAGTGATGGAAACAAATCTGCGGAAAGGAGGGTTAGTTCATCGGGTTCCGTATACTAAATCTCACGTTTACGCGACGTTTTAGGACAACTCGGCATCTAATCTCCATTCAGTTGCTGTGAAAACCTAAAGTTCTCAACGTAGAAGATAAACGAACGAAGTTTGAACTGTCAAAAGGAGATCTTGGTCAATTCCAAGAATAATGCAAATGATATTTGACACGAGCGCAATTGAACAAACACATGGATTTGCGTTGTTTTTAAGAAGCTGGTGGATGGAAGCTAGAGATATACCCGCGGGTTTGAGGCAATCCGTGACCTCATTGGTGTACAAACTATGCACTGATATGCTTTTTCGGCCCGATTAACACCTGTATTTTGAGAATTCTTTCGTACAAAGTAGTGAATTTCTTATTATGCAAATTAAGGTCGAAGAGCAGGGTCTCCTCTGATTACGCTGGTATGATAAATATTTCAGCTGAAGTTTCCGTTTGTCTGTGAACTAACTGAATACACCTTGTAACTTGTAGCAAGATAGAATTCCGTGAGCTACATTGTTGCAGTCGCTGCGCGCTGGACAAAATCTTTGAAATTGACCCTTTCGATCGCTGTTCACAGAGGTGGTCTGGCCAAAAATGATTTTTGGCTGGTGGCGACGCAAAAAAAGAGAATTGGAGAACAACTAAACTATTTTTGAAACATGTGTCCTAAACCCTTTTCATGGGCAAAAAATAAAAGAAAACTTTTTTCCGACGGGAAGTCGAGAGGACCGCTCTTAGCGGGAGCGGCACTTACATTGTTGTTTACCAGAATTAACGACCAGAAAATTGCGCAGCTTCGTGGTGAAAATTCTGAAAATGGTAGTTTCAAAACATTGAACAACACTTTTAGGCCATACAAAAACTTCAAAATATTATTTTCCGTTAAATGAAGAGTACCAAACGTCGCAAAGCCTCAGTTGAAGTCAGAAAGCTTAGTTTTGTTTTCAGCAATGATTCGCATCGCGTTTGGGAATAAAGTATCGTAAACTTCAAAACTAATTTGGCCGCTTGAAAGAACTACGTGCTTATTATTTTTCGAAAAGAGTATTATTTAGCATATTTCCTTTGCATTTTGAGATCCAAAAGGTCTATCTCAGTCGGGATAGAGCGCGAAAACAATCTTACAAGTTTTGAAACTTCGCGGCTAAACTCAACTGGAACTTTCAGCCGAAGTGAATATGCACAATTCATGTGTTGGATACAAGACCGTGCAGTACATAAGGATATTTACTATGCATTGTAGCTCTATAAGAAATACTGAGGTAGGCCTTGCGCGCACTATGTTTTAGAATCGCATAGCTAAAGGTAAACTCGCGATCTGATTTGCTATCGAAGAGAGGGCATTTAACGTGGAATTGCACTTGTGCACGAAGGGATATTGCTGACGTGGGTCGCGGGCAAAAATTGTTGCTATCGTGAAAATTAAAATGCAACTCGTACTACGAAAAATATCACCTTGGAAATGAACAGAAAAATGAAATGTACAGAAAATGAATGTCTGCCAAATTTTAAATTTAAATTTAAATTTTTAGAAAATTTTAAGGAAACTCCTCACACTCAAAGGACGAGAAAAAGCTTTGAAAAAAAAACAAATTGGCAGAAAATTCAAGAAAAAATTCACTGCAAGACGAGTGAATTCCACGTTAAATTTCACGCGAAAAACCGATATCGCAGGAATCGCGAAAAACCGATATCGCGCGTGCGATATCGGTTTTTCGCGTGAAATTTAACGTGGAATTCACTCGTCAGGCAATGAATTTTTCTTTAATATCGCTTTGAGCACCTTGGTCACGTCTGATATACTCTAAAATACTCTCTACGCTCAAGTGAGGCCGAATGATTCATGACGAAAGGCAATTGATGATTAATGAAGAATGACATCTTTAGTTTCAAGTTGGAAGCTTCAACAGTAAAAAAAATTAACTGAGTAGTTTAATATTTCTTTCTTCTGATGTTTCGGGCTACAAGAAATCCTGTGAAAGCCGGAAAAATTAGTAATTTAAACAATACATGATACATACAAACGACATTATATAATTTTCAATAATGTTTTTACAAACAAACCTAAGCTGAGTCAGTATCTCCCCGGTGTAATTACGAATCAAATAACATTGCCAATGCGATTTTAAAAAGGCATCTGTCAAATCTTGTATTTTTCTGAAGGCGACGAGCACTGTCTTTTCGTTCTGTCTTTTTCTTTTCTGTTTTAAATTCGCTTTGAAAATTTCAAATGTTCAAATAAGCGAAATCCTTCCGATCTTGAGCCAATCGTTATAAGACTCAGTCCATGTCTTTGACGAAAAGATGCGGGGATCTATGTCCAACAGCGAATGAACAAAAATTTGCATTTGAAATTAGCACCGAAAAAAATAGAGAAAAAAGACAAAATAGACAGCTGCTGCAACAAACTGTGTCATAAAATTATGTTAAAGACGCGCTGTCTTTGGTTGAAAGAGCGTGCTGTATCAGGGTACAAACCTTGAACTGAGCTAAAGCTACCACGCCATCTGCCAAATAGTACTATGTCCGACCATTTCCCGGACTTCTCTCTAGCTCATTACTTGAAAGTAAAATTTCGGAAGAAGCGAGCCGGCAAGTAGCAACGGAAAAACCAAACAAAAGTTTGTAAACATGCCAAGCGCCTTAATTTACGTAGTTATAACGTGAGCTTGCGGAGACAAAAATCCATGCTTACAGAGAAAACGAAGTGGGCAGTCCAAGTTTTAAGGTTTTCACGCGTACTTAGATTTCAAGCTTACGAACGGTAACAAAGATAAAAAACAGCTAACACCCGTATAGTATTTATAGTTTCGTGTTTAAAGACAAAACAAAACAAAACAGGAATGATGAAAATTATAGCCAAACTGGCACGAGTATTAAAATTCATACTGAAGAAAAATTCATGCTTAAGAAGTAGGGAGAAACACCCGACTAAGTCTCGTGTTTCTCCCTACACTTCTTTCGTGCTCTAGCCGCTTCCTGTTAACTTTACTTTACTACAGTATCGGGCACAGTCAAGGCCTCTCTATTTGTTAAATGGGTAGTTTTTCTATATCGCCTCATCATCCACGTTTAATAATATTTGATCCTGTTTCTGACACCGTGTAAAATGTGTTTTCTATTGCTTCTCCTTTTGTTGATTAATTTATTAACAAACTTGGAGATAAATTGAGAAAAAAGAAAGACGATGTCAACGGAAATGCAATCGCACCAAATTTACAGCAATCGTCATTATCTAGATAAAATCACCTTAGAAACATTTAAAACACAAAGACACCGACCACGCTAAATGTAAATTTACTCCCAAAGTAGGCGTGCGCGGGTGTGTGTTTTTGTGTATTTTTATTATTTTCTTCCAATTGTAACCTTTCTGGGTTAATTTGAATTCTCAACCATTATCCGAAGAATCATCTTGGGATCGTTTATTTAAGAGTATCTTTAAACCACAACAGTCCACCTAATCGAAAAGGCGACGCTACGAAAGTCATCAAAATTCCGTTTTCCGTTTTGAGGTTTTAACCGTCAAGGTGTCATAGCAACGTCTTTAAATGATCAAAGGGCTGTCACGGAACCAGGAGAACTTAAAGAAAATGAAAACAGATCATGACCAAGGTCTGACGATTCATGAGTCATTACTCAATTTGAATATTCAGCACTCACACTGAGATTTTCTTAATAGACAACGCTTGAAAATCACGACATTCAAACTGCAAGTTCAAGAGAATAGTCATGAATGTAACAAGCGCATCGCTAGAGGGAGAAAACAGTTCATACGAAACAACAACAAGCAGTGCAGCTGAAGCACTAGTATCGTACGTATCTGACTGTGGTAATAGCACAAGTGAGACCATAATTCCAAAGGCAGTCACGATGTCATTTTATTGCGTCGTTCTGTTTCTCTCAGTTCTTGGGAACTCCCTGCTTATCTTTATCATCAAGAGAAACAAGCGGATGCAAACAATAACCAATTATCTGATCGCCAATATGGCAGTATCTGACTTATTATTAATAGTTCTGGCAACACCGCGACAAATAATAGAAGAATCGTTTGGGCCTCGAAGATGGCTCATTAGCGGAAGCTTCGGTTCGTTTCTCTGCAAAAGTCTTTCTTTCTTCCAAGATATTTCAACAGCAGTGTCAATTTTGAGTCTCGTCGTCATAGCAATCGACAGATACAGAGGAATTGTGTTTCCATTGCGAAAACCATTCATAAAGCCGGCTAAACTCTACAAAGTTGTCATACCGTTGATATGGCTCTTTTCGATGAGTCTTCACGCACCTTACTTCTACATTTATGGCACAACCACAACTGATGACAAAACATATTGCAATCAGTTGAGCTGGGGTCCTAAATTAGATTTTAAGAAAAGTCAAAAAATATTTTTTATGATAGTATTCATTTGCGTTATAGCTATTCCTGAATGTATCGTCATATCACTGTACTCTGCCATCATATTCAGTCTTAAAAGAAACGCAATTGCAACATGTCAGGGTTCTTCAAATAGCATGGCAGCTCGAAGGCTACAGGAGGACATAAAAGTTGTGAGGAACATTATCGCAATACTTATTGCCTTTTGTGTATCTACTAACCCGTTCATCGTAGTGGCTTTCATGTTTCATTTCGTCTGGGATTTCAAAATACCTTGTAATATGAAGGTTTTCGTCTTTGTAGTCCATTTAATATTTTATTTGCATGCATTAGTAAATCCTTTCATTTATTATATTTTCAACGACAAATATCGACAGAGTTTTCTGAAAATCTTCCGCCAAGTCTCTCTCTCCTTCAGTTGCAAAAAGAACAGAAAAAAGAAGAAAAACTCACGGAATTTGATCGAAACTTCAATGTGACCAACGACAGATAACTGCAGACTCCTAGAAATAATTCATTTTATCCTTTCGTAAGTGGATTCACACCGAAGACCGGTAAATGTTGTCAAATGACGAACTGAATTTTTCAAGAGCTGGGGTACAGAGGTACTCATTTCTTATTTCGACATCACCTTGACAAGTTCAGCAGTAAACAATTTTCACAAAAAATAAGAACACTTTTGTTCGAATTCACGGTTTCAGTGAATGATATTCATAGGGCTGATACATAAATATGCAAATAACGACTCTTTTAATAACTGATGGTATCGATCACTAGTTTATAAGTGTTAGAGAAGTTGGTTGTTTCGTAACTTTCTGTTCACTTTTGTTTTCTGACAGAAAAAAATGTCTGTTATACTTGTGTTAAAAGAATCAAATGATATAAATACAATTCCCTCTAAGAGTTAAACGTCACGGAAAATGGAGATTTGGAGTTACTCATTATCTATTCAAGGATAATCTTAAAGGGAAGTCGCATACTGCATATAACCGGGAGAAAATATGATGTACATCATGTGCTTCATTTTCATTGCTTTTGTTTGTGTTCTTATCGGTTTATTTTTCTCACGCTCGTGACAGGATGAAAAACATCTTTCTGAACTTGTAATTAGATGCGAAAGGAGCTATTGGTAATTACAAACAATGTTGATTATGAATCGAAACTTTCAGTTTTGAGGACCGTTCTAGAGCGAAACCGGAAGGGATGATATTTGTTTCAACCCGTAATCTAATTTTGCTAGCAGGCAAGGGGTGATTTGGAGGAAAAACTTACTCCGCGATCGAGAACGAAGATGGAATTTCTGTCGAAGTGACACAAAGATTCTGTAGGAAAAACACGCTGTTTTCTTTGTGTTAAAAGCAACTGTAGGTCAGGGTCACCGGTTCATGTTTGTGTGGAAAGTTACAATCAATTTGGAAAGTTCGGTTCCCTCAAAGCTTTCTGATAGGAAATGATTGCTGCTGTATTTTAACACAAATTAAAAAAAATAATAATAAAAATAAATAATTTTAATTTTATGCCTTTCATAATTATGGGTGATATAAAGGAAATACTTGTGCGGTAGACAAGTGATATGGCTGGCGGAATAACTGTTGTCAGTTAAAAGTATTTTCAAGATAAAATATATGTTTGGAAGTTCTGGGCAGATTTTAACCCAAAAACGTTTTTTTAAAACATTTCCCCATTAATTTCTTAACCCCTAGACCAAACATGATCAACAAATCAATCAATATATGGTCTCCTTGTCTGACATGAGAGTTCTAAAGGCGGATTTTCACAAGGATGATGTGTAAAATTGCACGTAATGACCGTTTAAGAAATGAGAAGGAAGACAATGTTACGTCATAACTTTTGATCCTGTCAAGTCTTTCAGGAAGAAAACATCAACACCAAGAGTGAAGGTCATTTTGCAGTCTTATAACGCTACGCAAACCGGGAATCTACGGATTAACACTCTTTTATTTTTCATTGAACTAGTTTTGGTTATTACAGGCTTTTATGGGGGAGAGCTGAGCAGACCACGCTGTGCGTGAGATTTTGCGCTGATCTCACGTAATTGCATGTTTGACTACGACGACGATCCTTAGAGAGTGTGGGTGATGGAAATAATTCCTTGTCCTTTCACGTTCCGCCTTATTAAGTCGTTTTTTCCAACTAATTCTGGAGCTTTAACTTTAGCCCAGCTTTTGACTAGTTTGAGGAAAGATAAAACTGGAGACATTTTCCAGAATCGAATGTCCTCGGCATAACAGCTTAACCAAAACTCCTCTTTACGAGAACTTCTAAATCAGACATAATAGGAAAAAAAAACATGTCTCCAACCTTGACATAATAGTTACAGAGAAAATTGTCTCAAAAACCCATATTAAAAATTATTTAAACTTGTCCACCTGTGTGGAGATAGCTTATGGCAAGCACGCACACTGTCAAGGTCAGAAGCTTCAAAGGTGAACAAAACATGATTGAAAAAAACAATCAATCCTGAATCAGCCGCGGCGGACACGATCACTAGAATTTCGCTTCTCGACATTCTACAAGAGCTATCGATTAGGTCGGAAGTTTCGGTTCTACCATTGCTTCAAGAAATCCAGAAAATGTTCAGTTATGCTAATATGTGTAGCTCATTTACATTTTATCTGCATTCGTTGGTAACCCTCGTAACGAGATGGAAACACCAATGTGACAAAAGAAAAATTCGCGCAAAACCCTTTTGGAAATTAATAATCATTTGTTAATCTATCCATTTCTAATTTTACAAATGCATTAACATCGGCGGCGGAGTGATTGTTGACGAATTTCAGACTGAATTTCATTTGGCCTATGTTCCAGAGGATCCAAATATAACTTTGAGGTGACTTTCGAAAGTTCGGTAATCCCACCTTAACGAATACTCTTAAACGATAGGATAATTTTCTTCGGAGTTGACGGTCTAAATGAAAGAACTTAAAAAGGCCGATGCGTAACTTGTAAATTATGAACTTTTTTTAAAAAACTGATGGTGTAGGCCACCTGTTAATGTTTTTAAGGGGAAGCGATGACGTCGGAAATTAAAGTTGTTTCCATGCTTTCCATCCCGGAAGACTCACGGGGATAAAATTGGACATGAAGAAGAAAGAACTACTATTAAAGCTTCGCATCCCTTCCGACATTTGAGGGTAATTTTACGGAAATAGGCATAGAGCATACCAAAGAGAGTGTCAGTACCTTGATCATGATAAATTCCATTCTTCATTCTCATAGACAGAGTCTATTCCATTGGCTAATCCAGACTCCATAGTAAAACTTTTGATATCTAATTTTTACTAGTTTCAGAGATAGTTTTAATTCCCTATTTGTCTAGTATTTCCCCCAAAACAATTATTTTTGTGTTTCGTTTCCATATTTTTTACCAAATACATACTGTGACCTAAGCTTAGAAAATTAAGAAAGAAGAAAGTAATCGTTTTGGGTTGCCTCTCGTTCTCGTAATGTATAGTAAAGTAAAACTGTTAAGAAGGAGTAGATTTTTTTTTCAGCTCAAAGGCTGTAATTCGATGCAGTCATCTAAACACTCATTACATTACTATGGAAATTGCAGCTCTAAATTACAGAAGACTTCTAAAATTGGAAAGCGAATATAAGTTTCCTTGTCTTTCCTGTATTGAAAACTTTGTTTATCAACTGAGTTGCCAATGTCATATGGCCACGGAAAAGAGATTCTGAAGTTGACATTTCAAGGATTAGCCCTTCGTCAAGGGCAAAACTACTCTGGAAAACAAACAAATACTCAATATGCAACTAATCTTTGGGAAAATAAAAATTCCAGCAGACTTAAAATACCTTAATGCCTTCAGTTTCTCAAAAACAGTAATATTCAGATTTATTGTCAGAACAGCAATCCGAACATTCGTCTTGGTATCTACCTGTCCCCCCTTATCGTTATTATAATCATCATTATAATTTTGTTTAAGCATAGTTCTGCTCTCCCTGTTTGTCTCATTTAAGCAACTTAAATGAGACTCAGAACCTTCTTGACTCGGAAACTTGATAGTTCTTTTACCCAATGGTTCTTCTTTTATTTCTATTTCTTGGTGTGTATTTTCTATCTTCTATGATAAAAATCTGTAAATGCACAAAAGTGAATAAAGTATTATTGTTTTTATATGGATATGGAACTCAGACTTCAAATTATCTAAATGTAAAGGTAACTCCATAATTTGTTTTAATGAATTTCTTGACAAGATATCACAGGAGTGCGCCATCATTATCATGAAAAGCCGCCAGTACAATTAATCGGTGATTTCGATTCGACCACATCGCAATAATCAAGGATCTACGATACGATGCAGGTGCTTAGTGGACTTGCCCCAAAAAATGAAATGACTATCTTTGACATTTTCTGAAAACATATGTCGATCGTAGAGATAGCAACATTATCAGTATTCCGAACGCAGCTATAACGAAAAAAAAAAAAAAAAGAAAGAAAACTAAAAGAAGGGTAAAAGATATATATACAGAATATGATTTTTATTTTTTTCACTTTCATCAGGCCCCAGGTGTTTTCCTCAGCATTTCATTAGCCTCCAGAACCGGAGGAAAGAACATTTCAACAAAATAAAAAAGGAAACAATGGAAAAGAAAGGCTTTACACAATGAAACAGCTTTAGCAATTGTGATGGCCCATAACTTAAACTCACTTTTCATCTGCAGCACACAGCCACCAACATAACGATAAAGATCTCGTCATGCTGTCTTTGTAATGTTTTCTCAAACCCACTAATCCTAAATCAACTCCAACTGTTTTTCTTCCGGCCCCCTTATCACCATTGATCTTTTTAATATTTTTTCCAGCTTGAAACGATAAGTTTAAGATCTCATGGTAACATCTGAATGTTAATGCAAACCTTTTCTTTGTCTACCGCAGATCATTTCGGTCTATGTATATTATTGTTACTTATTTTCCTACCGCTGAATTTTCGCGATCTTCGAGGTTGTTAAATAAGAGACCCACGTAAAAAGGTTTTCGCAAAAATCAACCACGCAAAATTGAATACACTTGACTAGGAGTAAGGGAAAGCGCTATGTTGCCAAAAGTTGGGAGAAAGCTAGCTACTGGGGTATTAACGATATGTCTGCTCTTCCATTCGAGGATCCCTTTGAAGAAATTGACAATAACCTTTATCAGCTGTAAGTGCAAACAGACGGTATCATGTTCTCTTGTTCAGTGTCATTGAAAACTGTTGTTTGGGAAAATCAATTCAGTGCTGGTAACTGTTTGATAATGCAGATCAGTATTTTAAATTTCTTTGCGAAATTTAGTTCCTTTCAAAGTAAATATTTTTGCAAAATGAGTTGCGAAATTAAAGTCCTGCGAAATATGCCCGTTCCATTTTCGCAAATTAAGTTCACGCGAAAATAAGTGACTAAAAGGTAGTTTCGTCGCCCGGCGAGAGAAAAGAAGAAGGAGTACCAATATAATAAACATGAACATCTTTTTTTGGATCTATTAATCTTGGCGATGGAAGTCTTTCCAGCGCTATACAAATTTTTCCTTAAAATCCGGCTTTCAAGGTTATTTCGTATTTTTTCTTTCCAACATGTCCAATTTTTGTAATTCTTATTTTTTCTTCCGTTTCACGTTGTGCCGTCAGTTCTACCGTCATAAAATTAAAATCTTCTTCACAGAAAGTTGATTTTGTGGTTATAACAGCACAGCATTTACTACTTGTGAAAATGACAATTAAACTTCTTGCTTGGTTTC